GGGATCCCGACTCGTCCTGCGTTGAGCCCCGGCTTGCCTTCTGCTGTCGCTGAGAAGAGCAGCCCGTCCTCACAGCTACAAGGGAGGAGCCCCTGTGGTGAAACGGCCACCCGCTCGCCCGGCTTCAAACCGCCCGTTTCATTCAGCCGTTCGGAAAAGCCAAACCAGTGAAGGTTTTCATTCAGTTCCCGCTGAAAATCCTCAGCGCCTTCCGTCACTGAAGATGGTGTGACTCGTGCCGCGGTTCGTACCTGGAAAGCTTGACGTTGAAAACCGTGACGGGCTGCATCACGCGGGCTGGGCAGCAGGCACCCGAGCAAGGCCGATGACCGCCTCCCACGTGCTCCTGCCCCTGACTGCTCCCTAGGGATGGGGAGGTGTCTAGTGCTTTACTCATTGCATGGGGGGAGGACTTAATGTCTCTTGGTCTCGGAAGCAGGTGTCTACATGCCGATGTCTGTTGGGACTGGCCCATAGGGTGATCCAGCTGATGAAACCATGAGCTCTCGGGAAGAGTGTCAGTTGGTATGGACCGAAAGTGCCCTTGGGGGTGGTCTACCAACTCAGTTTACAGAAAACTGAGTGCCTGGGTGTTTCCCCAGGCACTGTTTAATTTGCTAGAGTAGATGCTGGATTTTCTCAAATGCAGGCAGGGCATCTCTCTTTGCCCGTCCGACCTCCTTGCACACTGGGTAAAGGCTGGAGCTTCATAGTTAGCAGTCAGCAGAGCATCTCCTCTCCCCAACGTCTACTGCAGGGAAAACATACGCATCTGAAACACACCTTGAAGAGGAAGCAAACGAGCAAAGATGTATGTGCATGTGACTGCCTGTTGTGTACTTTAATTCTGTACAAAAATGTACATGCACAGGTACATATAGGTAAGTCTTTGGATCTACCGTGTTGAAGAGGAGCCTGCAGATGGTGGAGCAACTCACCTTGACTTTCACATCTTTAGGTTGGGGCAAAACAGTTCCTGCAGACTTTGTATCCTGCAGGCTTCTTCCAATGAGAGAGGGGTCTGGAGTACCTGTGCTGATTGCTCCCTGCTACTGATTGCTGTCTGCCTCTACTTTAAAAAAAACACTCGTTTGTTTTCTTGTCTTCTCACAGCTTGAAAGTTAACTTATACTGCTCGCCAGTAACTAAGGAATTGCTGTTGACTAGCTCAAAATACAAGTTTTGGGAGAACCGCATTGTAAGTTTTAAATTCTTTTTAATTAAAACTTTCCAAGTCATGATTTTCAAGAGGAGGAAACTTTCCCCTCCTCAGAAATGTTTAAATGTTGTTGCTGGTATTGACATGGTGTTTCAGAGGTTAAATTCAGACATCACTATGTCTTCCCTTGCTGTGTGAGATTGGTTCACTGGTTTACCATCTGGTCTTACTTTTCCTTCTACAAAATTAATCCTTTTCTCCCAACTTCAGCTTTAAATGTACTGTTATCTGTATAACTCTGCCTTGATTCATTTGTATTCTTCCTTCGTTTCCTTGTGTTGCTCGTATCTTTTTGCTCCTGTTGTTATTTCACTTCTCCTTTGCTTCATTAACAGTCTTGCGTTACTCAGGGAGTATAATCTTCTAATAATATTATTTCCCTTGTGAATTTTGGAGAACGAATTATCTCACATTAAAACGTGTTGGTGATGTGAAGTCATTCAAGAACCTAATTACTCGATTTCCTCTGTTTGGAGCCAAATTTCAAGGGATTAGTGGTCATATTGTATAGGTGTGACTTGTGGTTAGTTATCTGCTCCCTTTTGCAGATGCAGATTTGACACTGAGTGTGATTCGTCTCACATCTTGAGTATGCACTTACATCCTCAGATGATGTAAGGGTTTTTCTGTATTCCCAAACAAGGACAGGAGAAGGCTTTAAATCCTTCTAGCCAAATGGAAGCTTGAGAAGGACGAGAAGGACTTTAGGCAGGCGGAAGCCTGTTTTCTTTGGAGAGTTACGGCCTGGAGTCTCCTTAAAGAGGTTGTAGTGGTGGGTCTTGAGCTCCATACCAGAGAAACTCGTAGGAGGGGGAGCTGGGAGGTGCTCATACATGGGGTAAGTCTGGGTAGGAAGAAAGAGAACTAGGGCACTTCTCCATATGAGGTTTAATTTTGAAGCTGGATGAGGAAGAAGGTAATTGGCTATATATGAAGCCTTTAGAGACTGAAAGATTTCATGATTTAGGGGAATTAAAGTGATCCTGGGCTCCGTAAAGGTACTCTGAGCAAGCATTAGGAATGCGTTATGCTCCTAGGGAGTGTAAAGGGTGGGATTTCTTTTTTGTTTTTGAAGCTTGTATCTGTTTGCTTCCAGTATCTGTTAAGCTTGACCTAGAAGAAGAGGCCCTGTGAGAGGGTCTGTGTTCAAGCTAGTAGGAGTTTGTATGAGCAGTAAAGGGAAGGTAGGCAGTGTTAGTCCTAGATTTCCCGTTTGAGAGGCTCTGTATCTGGGAAGAGACTCTGAAGTTTTTCAAGGTACCATCTAAAATGTAGAAGCACTTAAGAGCACATTGAGTGCATGGAATTAAGATCAGCCTCGTGAGTTCATTCAGCTTCCCCCCAAAAGAAGCTGCAGATGATGAAGCTAGTATTGATGTTTGGGGGGGCGGGGGAAAGAAAGAAAAAAGAAAAAAAAAACCCTCTTGCTATTGGTTTGAATTCTTAGTATAAAATGCTTTTTGACATGTGTATCTGTTTTGGAGTGAGGAAGGAATTTGATAGTTGTGTGACTGATACTGTGGTTTCTGGCAGAGACACCAAATGTTACAGGCTTGTGCGTGTACCAGGTGAAAGGAATGCTTACAGCTGCCCAGAAATTTGGGATGTGGTGTCTTATGAATCCATCTAGTGCAGTAAAGCCCCAAATGCTGAGCAGACTGCTCAGATGAGAAGCTGGAGGTTACAGCTAGAAGGGTGATGACAGCAGTCTTTGACAGGAGTCTTTCCTTCCACTTTGGCTTTTTTGGCAGGAGAATTGCATATAAATAGTGGCTGAAACAAAGAGAAAAGCCAAGAGGGGAGAGGAGCCTGCTGAAAAGCATTAACCTTGCAGAAGGCCACAGAGCATCTGTGTTCAAGGTCTCTAGATTTTAGTAGAGGATGAAGCAAAACAGGATTAATTGCTGTCCATAGCTTTTCTACAAAAAACCCAGAAATTCCTGCTACATGTGACTTGTCATTAACAGCAGCTGAAGGCACAAGCGTGCAGCAGTAACTGGGAAGAGTGAGGGGAAGTTGTGCTATAGCAGGACAGAGACCTGTCCTAGCAAATCCATTGGTGTGTTGTGGGAACAGCATGTCTTAGCCTTTGTACTCATCCAAAAATAAGGTATGTGATCCAGCCAGAGAAAGCCAACCTGAGCTGTGTTAGGGTCCAACACTTGCCTTTTTTAGGCATGAGCACCTTAATCGGGGTTTTCCCATTTCATTTTTAGACATCAACTCTTTTTAATGGAAATGCATGACTTAGTACAGGGAAATGGGCTTAATTTTACAGGCTTAGCATTAGCCACAGTGGGTGCTAAAGATGTCTGCCTAATGAATACTCAGCCATAAATATGAAACAAAATGTTCAGTATGTCCTGTGATGCGTTTATTCGTTCTGTTACAGGTTACATTGGAAGTTGAAACTCCCACTCAGATTTCTTTAGAAGATGAAACATCTGGTGAGGTAATCAGTTACAAGCAATATTCATATATTTTTAATGGACAGTAATAGTGTTTAAAAGGAGCATGAGAAACAGAACGTCTGCATTTCCCCTTTTTCTCCAGCGTGTAGCCACAGGAATTCCTCGTCTTCTTCATTCTGTTCTTCTTATGATCACTGTTTCGTGTGGTGGTGGTTTTTTTTTTTTTTTTGGCTCACATTTTTCCATTGTATTAGGGATCTTCATCTTACAGGTGACAAATCACAAGGGAAATAGGTGTTTTTTCTGGCTTATCTTAACTAGCTTTAAGTGCAAGACTTTGTCCTGTAGAGCATCTCCAGGCAAAAAGTATTCCAAGATTCTTTCTGTGATGGTTGTTCACCCAGGAAGCAGGGAAATAGGACTGTCTTCTGGCTGAATGGCACTCGTGAGCACCCATACAGTATTCAGCCAGCTGTCTTGGCATGACAGGATGGTGGCTGATTTTCAGCACTTGTTGCAATGTGACGAGACCGTCTCCTCCCTCCAGAAGCAATGCTAAATGCCAGAGGAGGCTGCGGGGAGTAATGCGTTGCTCTGACTCTATCAGTGAAAATGCCAGCAGTGCTCATTACAGTGTGAAAATAATGCTAACCCATCTCTTCCAGAAAGAAGATATAGAGGTGACACTTCTACCAGCTGGTCACTGCCCAGGGTCGGTCATGTACGTCCTTTCAATGCTCCGAATGTCTCTGCTGGGAAGCTAGGAAAAGCTAGTGAATTTAAAGTTCTTACTTAGAAATAATACTACTATGACAGCATCCTCCAGCTTTGGTCAGTGTTAGAAAACCACTGTGCTATCTGGGATCTGTCCAGACAGAAGTTATTTGTTACCCTGGTGGGGCAGGTTACCATTCCCAATGCCTCTGAATAGCAACTTTCTTGACTGCAGCTGTACTTCAAAACGACCTGCAAACCTGGGTTTAAAAGCAAGCTCTCCCGTTCTTAAGCATGACATTAAAATAAGTTGTCCGACTTCATGGTACAGATGCCTGTTGGATTCCCGTGGCTGCAATAGCTGGGCCGCCCTTGCAGGCAGAACCTCTGAGGTTTTTATGTGTAGGCTGGTCAGAGTTGGAAGATAGGTCATGTCCCAGACATAACAGTCGGAATCATTGCGTTTATCTGAAATTACTCTAGGACAAAATTGAGCCTAGTATTTCTGCTGCCGTGCACTTTCTCCGAAACCTGCTATTCACATAGACTTCTCTAAGTAAAGTAACAAACTTGCATCAAAACCGGATGTTTACGTCGAGGAGTTTGACTGGAGCGTTTCTGTTTGTAGGTTTTTGTTCCAAGGTGAAAATGGCACGGTGCTGTATACAGGGGATTTCAGGCTTGCAAAAGGAGAAGCAGCCAGAATGGAGCTTTTGCATTCAGGGACCAGGTATCACAGAAAGATCTATATTTTAATTCAGATTCTTGTGAGGCTTTGCTGTTGATGGGTTTTAGAAATAAATTTGCAGTTAAGATGACACAGCAGTTAAAAGCCCCTTTTGACTTGCTCTGTGTAAGTAAAGAGGAAGCATTCTCTCCTTTTGAAGAGAGAGGATGGAGCGTAGCTTAATGGTGTGATACACTACTTGCTCTGACTTTATATTTCTCTCTTTCAGAGTAAGAGACATCCAGAGTGTGTATTTGGACACCACTTTTTGTGATCCCAAATTTTACCATATACCAAGCAGGGTAAGTCTAAATCAGCTGTGAGAGGAAGCCTCCTAAAGCCACTGATAATTAACCAACCTGTTGTTAGGTAAATCTTGCATGCAGTGCCATTTTACATTACTGAATCCCAGTGCTTCAGAAGTATCTTCAATGACATATTCACGATGTTTCCTCATCCTTTTAGGAGGAGTGTTTAAATGGGATCTTAGAATTAGTGCGAAGCTGGACCACACTGAGTCGCTATCATGTTGTGTGGCTGAATTGCAAAGCTGCCTATGGATATGAATATTTATTCATAAACCTCAGTGAGGAACTTGGAATCAAGGTAACGCTTCCATAATTGTTGTTTTAAAACAGACCCTGAATAATGATTGTGTCCAGTCATTAAGCTGGAAATGCCTGTTCAGAGGACTGTGGTATGTGAAAGGCGTGCACGCTTTCATTAACTGTTCTTAAAAAGCTACAGTTGTGCTCAGGAATGAGTTAACTAGTTGGTTTCAGTCCCTGTCATCTACTGGAACATCTGGGTTCTGCAGGCAGAAGTTAATTAATCCCCATTTTTCAAGCTCAGTGTTTACCTCTCTCCCTTACATCTTGGGCGCCATCTTGCTACTCAGAGGCATTGGGAATGGTAAACTGCCCCACCAGAGTAAGGGGGGGGGGGAAAAAAGCCTTCTCAGTTACATGTGGCATTACTAGCTAGCAGATAACTTCGGACTGTGTTTGAAACCTCATTCGTCTGTAGCACAGGAGGTATGTTCTGCTTGTTATAAGTATCAAAGACACCTTTGGCTAACACTTCTCTACTTGGACATTGTTACTGTTAGTAATTGTTTAACTGTTTGCCGATATTTGTTGAGGGCAAAATCACATCTCTATAGTTAGTATAGCTGCAGTTTGGCAAATACATCAAGCTAATTAAGAATAAACACTGCCTTTTTCTAGGTGCATGTGAACAAACTCGACATGTTCAAAAACATGCCAGAAATCCTCTACCATGTTACTACAGATCGAAACACTCAAATTCATGCCTGTCGACATCCTCGGGTGGGTATTGTTTTGCAGAGCCTCTGCTATGAAAGACTAGTTGTAGATGCTAATATTTCCGCGCCGTTGTTCCTAAAGCCCCTCTCTGCTCAAGGAGACTTGAGCCAAATGGTGGCTTAATGCAAAAGAGAGTGAGAATTTTAGTGGGCTAAAGGGAAAAAAAGACATTAGCTTATGCTAGAAACAATTATATTTGAAACTTGAAAATTTTACTGTGATATGAAGTGAGATGATGAAAAGGGGATTAGATGGGTCAGATGTTATCCATTTAAATGCATCTAAAGCAGCCTGTGTGATGCCTCCTGCAGCCAGGCAGATAGCATGCTGGTAGTTTATGACCTTCCCTTCCCAGGACACTTAGGAAGCTGAATGCTTCAATTCGGAGGAGCACAAGTAGAACTGGAGATGGCACATAGGGATGTAGCTCTTGATGATCGATTTGCTTTATCAGCTACACTATGGAAGTAAGAGGTATCAGCAAAGAGATGATGTTTCGAAAGAGTTGGAAGATGGGTGAGAAATTGGTCTGGCTTGATATGGTGCTTAATTTCTGACCAAAAAAAAAAAAGTCAGGATTGCCACTAGCTTTCCCTTTTCATTTGACAGGATGATGACTATTTTCGAGGGAACCGACTGCCGTGTGGAATAACTTCCCAGAATGGAACTCCCTTGCACATAATTAGCATCAAACCCTCCACTATGTGGTTTGGAGAAAGGACCAAAAAAAACAATGTAATAGTGAGGTGAGCATTTGGGCCATGTGGAAATCTGTTATTTCAGGTGTGTATCTTGCCTCAGTGTTTTATAACTGAGACTCAAAATGGACTATGTGAGAGTAGTTTGTGCTTGCCTATTAACTGAGCATGAAGACAGATTACCTAATTTTTGTGTTTCCCCCTTTTTTTTTAGGACTGGAGAGAGTTCCTACAGAGCTTGTTTCTCTTTTCACTCTTCATACAGCGAGGTTTGTAAACTTGTATTACTGAGCAGACAGTGACAAACAAAAAATTTAAAGTAGTTTTGAACATTTTGGAGTGAGTGATGTGATTTGTCAAATTTAAAAAAAAAAAAAAAAATCTTGTCAGTAATGAGACATAAGGGCATAGGAAGTTGTGGATGCTGAAGACAGGGATGTGCCAAAACTGGCATTGTTTTAATATAGCTGCAGAAGAACATGTTGAGGTAGGGCAGGATTACAGACCTATTTTGTTTGTTCCCTTTGCTGTAAGTACAGGTTACTGCTACAGTTATTTGACTGCCTGTGTATGTTAGAACACTGTGTAACTGTAGTATACTTGTAAAGCTTGGAGTCTGGGCTTTCATTACATTGTTTATCTGCTGTGACTCAGTTTTGGGTTGGTTTGTCTTCTCTCCCGTGCCTGCACATTCCGATAGAATTTTTCTGCATCCTAGTGGCCACTGTTACTCCTCTTGCTGTATTAGAATTAAATGGTTCATTGCAGCACCCTCTCCGGGACCACACATCTTCATTTAATGTAACTTGATCCAGTTCTTAGAACACTTGTCTCTCATCAGAAACTTAAGTTGAAATGAAACTAGATGAGTGCTGACGATCAGCCTGTCGCAGAGCATTGCGCATACAAAATTGAGGCTATTCAGAGCCCTGGGAAGATGCTCATGCTATTAAGATACCCAGTTAATGATTTTGATTTCCTCTGCCTTGCCTTGCAGAATTTTAAATGGAAGTTCTAAGAAGTAGTACCTACAATATGGCAGCTCTGCTGGCAGAATATGGGGACTATAGTATATCGTGAGTAAGGGAGTCGTACCTCCTCATGCAAAAAATGGACGAGTCCTATTGGTGTTTATAGATAGGAGTAAAGCCTGCAAACATGCAAGTATGTTCAACTCGCAACACTGATAAAGCCTCGTTTGGAGTGGAGTGCCAAAAACTGGACACAGTTCTTCAAGAAATTTGTGATCTAGAGAGCATCCAAAATACCACAGTGAGAGCAAGAAAGGCTTGGGCAAGTGATGTTTTTTGTGATATGGTCTTTTTATAGAGGACTGAAAGGAAACTTGAAAAAAGCCTTTAAATATGTAGGGCTAGAGCAAAGAGGAAGGGAATACTCCAATCTGCACAACTGGCAACTAGTCCACTAAGAAAAATGCAGATTTAATATTAGGGAAAAGATCTACAGCAGCAAGGACTGGATCGTGTTCCCTAGGAACATGTAGGAGTCACCATCGTGGGCTTGTCTGACCTTTTCTTTCAAAGGTATTGATGGTTTGTGTAGTTGATATTGCCACGGGACAGTTAGGTGAGACCGAGTTCTCAGCGTCCTTTTCCGACCTGTTGCCTTATTACAAGGCTATTCACTCTGATAGCGTTTAGCTCGTGGGTTGTATCGGTCTTTACATGAGACAGCTGGAGTACTCAATCTGTGCTTTCATCAGTGCTGCCATTAACTGGAATCATTAACTGTTGGCGTAATTTGTTGAACCGCTTCTATTTTTCTTCAATTTAGATTAAGGATTTCTTGAGCTATATCTGTCCTGTGAACGTGTATCCCAACGTATTGCCAGTGGGTCTGACGGAAGACAAAGTTATTGAAATGTAAGTGGCAGCTGGCTGGTGAATGGAGGTGATCTAACCTCTGTTACTATCGAGGCAACTTCTCTCCTGAATCTCAGCTTCTCAAGCAAGCCCATGCCTTTTGGTTTACTTTTCCTCTGCTAATTCATTCAGTCTCATTCTTTCTATATTCAGTCCTTCTGCAAACTTCAGCTTTCTGAAGAGCATTTGTATGTTGTATTAAGTCTGAGAGTTTCTATTCCATACATATATAATTATCAGAAAAGCATTTATATTTGGGTATTGTCTGCATGTGTATCCTGTTTTCTTTATTCTGTTACCTGCTGCTATGTCATTGCTACCTCTGGGAAGTTTCTCTTAAACAAAGTTTCTCTGGGGACTTGAACTCTTAGCCTCTATACAAGCACCCTGATATCATATCACAAAGACCTGTACTCTTGTCCTGCTGCAGAGGTTGGCAGCTTAGAAATTGCCCTTATGGAGTGCAGAAGAGTAGTGGTCACACAGGGTCCAAACAAAACGAGGACTTGATTCTTTGCCTTTTTTTTCCTCCTTTCTTTATTAATAAGGAAAGAAATGCTTCACTATTGCTGATTTAAAACCAAATATTTGGATCCCTGTCATCTTGTCTCCCCCAAGCAAGGGACTAAAATGATGCTTGCTTTAAGGTAAATGACAGATTACTACCTTTAAACTGGCTAAACTCTTAATTCTTTGCTGAGTTTTTCCTCAGCGCTTGCTGCATTTGCAGCAGTCCTGCAAATTTGCAGCTTGCTGCAGTGTTTATGAAAGGCATGAAGCAGTATACCTGGATCAAGTGAAAAGGTTTACTTTTGGTCCTGAAAACGTATCTGCTGAGCTCTAAATACTGCTTTCGTGTTCCTCTCAGGTTAAAGCCATTATGTAGATCATACCGAAGAAACATGGAACCCAAATACAAGCCCTTAGGAACACTGAAGAGAGTCCACAAAGCAGACTTATCTGACACAGGTAAAAGTTCTTTAGGAGCCAAGTTTTGTGACAAAACCTTTCATGAACTTTCTGGTGCCGCTGTTCCTTGACTGAATGTCCTGAGACTAAGCAGAGAGCAGGCAAGCCACCCTTCATAAACAAATCCCCAAAGCAGTGGTGCTCGCTAGTACATCTGTGTATAGAGCAACAGAAGAAATACAGTTAGAAAAGAGAAATATAAATGAAATTAATGTAGTTTTCACGAGGATGATGGAGGTCTAATTGTGTAATTCAGATAAAACCTGAAACAGTAGCTGACTTGCACTGAAATGATCTGTGGCTGTTCTGAGGTGGTTGGGCCTGATGACATGCTTTGCTTTAAAAATGATCCCAGTGTTAACTCATACAGTGTTAACAGTTCACTTACTAGTGAACTGCAAACTATGCTGTCAACTTACAGTGAATGCAGTCTTTGTTACTGCCCCTTAACTACTACTCTGGCAAGTACAAGGTGGTACAAATTGTTCTGTAGGGGCTTTCTCAAGGGCCTCTTCCATCATTATCACTATGGTTTCTGAGTGACTTTCAATAGTGCATTAAGGAACACACACAACAGACACTGGCCTTCCTATGTCTGCCTTGGACTGGAGTCTAACAAGTGTGTGATCTTAATACATGCTTAATGCTTGATATCCCTTTAAGCTTCTAGAGAAACTCCATTCCGCAGCCCGAGACCATCCCTAGTAAAGTTGTTCCTAACAGAACTAACTTTTCCTGTATCACATAACGTGTGGTGGGGGGACAGAGTAGTATGCCAGTGGAATTGCTCTACTTCATTTATCCCAAACAACTGGCTTTTTAGCACCTAGTAGCTTTTTATTCATCTAGGATGGTCAATAAATTCTGTAGCCTCTGGAAAGCTACTCAGGAAATAGAAGGCCACTTTGGGCGTACTGCATTCTCTGTAGCTGTTCCTGAAGTGCCAAGCGAGCAAGGCTGATGTAGTCCAGGCAGAACATGACAGAGGTCTGATTAACTTAAGCCAGATCACTGTCCACCAGGGCCACATCTACTCTGCACCATGCATATGAAGGCCAGAGGTAGGGATGCCTGCTTTGTCAGCTTATCCATCTGACTCTTTGTTCTGTTTGAGTCGACCTTTATTCAAAACATGGAAGGAATGAGGTTAGCTTTTTCAGGAACAAGAACTCCCCGGTCATTTGACACCTCCAGAGATTCCACTACTGCTTTGATTAAAAGTGTCTGCTTCTCCCAATACAAGTAACATTGGACATTGTGACAGGAGTTGTAGACAAGAGAAAAGAAACCCTTCATTTTGCTAATATGAAGCCCCCTTTCTTTAAACAGTATCTGCAACTCATTTTTTTAAATCCCTGTTTGGGGTCTGATCCTACAAATAATTATTGAATAATCAAGATGATTCTGAAGGTCATTATGTAGAAGGCTTCTCTTTATCTGTATATCTGCTCCGGCAGAATGCTGAAACTCAAAACTCAATTATGCCTCTGATCAATGAAGACTCTTGACAGGTACCAGCTACGTTGTTTGAGTAATACAAACCAAAATGGTAGAAATAATTGCTCTAGCTTATACGGAAGGTGACAACTAGCAGCTTCCCTTGTAAAGCATAGTGCTAGACAAGCCAAGGCGAACACTACTGAAATGGATCTTTTGTACGGTAAACTTTGTAATGTTCTGCTAAGCCTCCACCTGGAGTAAAGAACTCTTTCCTTTCTTTAGGAAAAAAGGAATTTTTATTAAAAAACACTGTTCTCAGATCTCTGCTAAATTATTTGGAGTAACTGTTCTTAGTGTGATTGATTTGATTCTTCTCTTGACAGATGAAGATGATCTCTTTGATACAGAACTAACTTCTGCAAGGCCTAAGATGCCAAAACAGCAGGCAAAGAGCAGGCCATTTAAGACAACATGTGAAAATGCAGAAGGAAACAACGAGAACACAGAAAATTACAAAGCAACCGCAACATACACCTCTCTCAAGGTAGACTTCATGGATTGTGAGGAATCAAATGATGATGATGATGAAGATGAGGGTGAAGAAGAATCTGAAAAAAACACAGCGGAAGCTCTTTTCCATGAGCCAGATGCCACATCTGCATCAAACTCCCATGGAAAAAAACACTCCGACTTGACCTCTGGTGTAACTGGTGACCAACAGGAGTCTAATGCACACTTACCCTGCTGGGACGCCTTTTTTAAGCGTAACAAAATAGATGAAAGCTCGGAAAACGAGGACAACTTCCCATCTTCAGCAGATGCTGGTGGGTCCCAGTCACTCTTCAGTGATTCGGATGGAGTGAGTGACTCCACACACATCTCCTCCCAAAATTCTTCTCAGTCAACGCACATATCAGAGCAGGGGAGCCAGGGCTGGGATAGCCAGATGGACACAGTACTCATTACCTCCCAAGAGAGAAATGCCTCTGACTTCAGCTGCTTCAGCAAAGGTGGGAGCAGAACAGGAGTTTCCATATTGCATGAGACCACCAAAGATAATCAGGCTGAAAACAGTAGGTGGAAGCCAATGGGGCAAAACAGATCTTCCGCATATGATGTTGTCCGTGACTTGAAAAGCAGAGACCGTGAGAAAGATGCAGAAACTGGCAGTGCTCAAATTCAAGACATGCTGTTTGAAGTAAATGACAATTCCAGGACTCCTGATCTAGAGCTGAAGAAAGACTCTCAGAGCTCCTCTGACTTTGAAATTCCATTGACTCCTGATGCTGAATTACCTCAGCCAGATAAACTGCACTGTTTATATAGGAAGCTAGCAGCAGGTGAAAACATACTGAATGAAAAAAATCTCTTCTGAAGACAGGTTTAAGTGATTACATCATGAAAATAAATGCTGAAAATTGTTCTTTCACCTCCCCAAATATTCTTATCTTTAGTGCTAAATATTTTCTTGCACACTAATTATGCAATTCTTCAGACATGTACTGCTACCAGACAGACAGTTGCAGCCTGTTCTTTTTCCCTCCATGAAATATCAAAAAGGATTCCTAAAAGGGACTATAAAAGCCTTCTACCTCATACAGTTCAGTTCTCTAGGAGCATAAGCAGAGAGAAATTAGACGAAACAAAACTAAGACTGGAACACTAAATGAAATTTAGTGGTTTTCTTCCTTTTTAAATGGTAAGCTCTAAGAGTTTGCCTTCTTTGTATAGATATGTGTGATCTCAAGCTTTAATAAAGTGTCATTTTTAACGGTGGGGAAAAAAATGTGCTACCTTTCATGAATGGTCATGCAAATAATACAGTAGTTACACTTCAGCTGTATGAAATCTGAGTTTTCACTTTATTTTTTTTATAAAAAACGGCAGAATAGATTAGAGAATTACTGAGCAAAAAACTTTTTTTAAAATCAGACTCTTCTTTTCAAGTGGTCGCTCTTTAATCTGAGCAGGTGTTGTCACCCAATTTAACATCTTAACAAGATAAAATAATCCAATGTCTATGATTTTATCTCTCTGACTCATTGTAAAGAACGTGTCATTAGGTCCTTGGTGTTTTCATTTGTTCCAAACTGTCTTTTGAAACTATTTAAAAATAAAATTCCATGGGATTGTGGCTCAAAAGCTACCACAAGTAGCCTGCTTAGGAGGCTAAGTCATAGTAACAGAAGTTAACCTGTTACTCAAGGATCTCTTGTGTTACCCAGTTTTGACTCCTCTGCAGCATCCCATTGACTTCACCGAACTAAACCATGTTCAGATTTTCTTTCTTTAAATCAAGACACTAGATTCTCCATCCACATTTGCCTTGGTAATTAACTTTTTGCCAACGTGCCTAGCTTCTGAAATGTAAATGTAACTTCAGATTTTTGTTAAGTTTCAGTAGCTGTGACAATGCAGAAACAGTAAAAGTCCTCTCTGAAAATCTTTGACGGTTCCCATCCATGAGGTCTTAAGTCCCAAAGAATTAAAAAAGACTTTTAGTATTACAGCTCTTCTCTGTGCATGTTTTATTTTTTACACCATCTTTAGTGAAATGTGAATGTTAAACCAGCCAGCATTCTGCTACTGGGAACAGTGTCGTAAAAAGAGATCAATGAAAAGTTATTATTATTAAAGATAATTTTATCTTTTACCCACTTTTTCTGTGTTCTGGGCTTCTTTTTTAAATATAATTTGGATCTGTCAATATACATATATATATTTTTAAGCAGGCTTATGTGATTGTAATTGCTCTTTTAACTACCTCTGCTGTGTAAGAACATACAGAGCAGAATTTCTTCTGTTGGCTTGCTTCCTTAGCTTTGTAATACGTTTAAGTTTAGGGCTGAGTTTACAGAGTGGTTAAATTTAACAGAACCCAATCTGCTTTAGACAAAATCAATGAGAATTTATACCAGCTCTTAGCAGCCTAAACTGAATAGGAAACACGTGACTGACTTACTCACGCCATCTGCTAAACTTCAGGCTTTATAGTGCTACAGAACTTGGGTACAGGCATGTAGTAACAGGGTGCAGTTTTAAAGTAAATTCTACTACTTCATCTACAGTTAATTCTGGCCGATTTTTAAGAATGACAACAACAGAAGAAAAACTAAATTTAATTTATTTTATCAAAAACTATAGGAAGATAGCAATACTAGAGATCAAACAATATGAAAAGAAAATATTCCTGAGCTTACAAACTGCATATTCTAATGTATACAGTCCTAAAACATACATTAGAAAATAACTAAAAGATTGACTTAACTTTGAGATTAAATAAATACATAATAGCTTTTCTTACAGATGACCTTGCAGCATTAGTTCTGCTACCTAAAAAAAAAAAACCAGCCAGAGGACAGATTACAAGTTACCAGTCACTGAGAAGTGCATTTACACAACTGAACTGGTGGCCATGATGAAGCTAACAGACCACAGAGCAAAACAAAGGCAGAAGCTAGGCTGATTTAGGCTCCTTAAGAAATTGAAAGTAGTTTTTTCTCCTTTTCCAATTTGGCAATTTTTCCCCTGAACTCAAAAGGAGTTTTAAAAGTGACACAGTGTCCCATTCAGCTAATTCACAGATGGCAAACTGAAATGCACTGTAAACATAAAATACTGTTCAAGGTTCTAAATTAGAAACTGGATCCATGGGTTTACTTCAAATAAATACAAAATACTGTTACCTCCCAAAGTCTAAGTTAAAGGTCCTTTATTTATCGCACAAAGAGGTAACATACATATCCTTAAAGAACAGCAGTATTATTTCAATGCTGGTGATAACATTTACTGCCTTGAGAAAAGGCAGGCATTAAACTCAAGTACAACTAGTAAAAGTTTGTCTTTTAAAATGTATTTACTTGTGATTTTTAAGTCAAACTGGGTGTGGGCATAAACAAATGAGAGTCAAATCACCCCTAAGTCATCTTGTCCAGGAGAGGCCACAGAAACTGATTTGGCAAGGAATCTGTTTCTTTCCACAGCCACTCTTGCAATCCTAAACCAACAGGAAAGGCTGCAGATCTGCAACAGATTAAGGAGCTGGAGATCACAGATTCCATCCACGTGGAATGCATCGCTGAATCGGGCTACATGCAAGAGAAAACCTAATGACTCCAAATGATACAAGTTTGTCTAGAGTTTGTTAACATTAAAGCTCCACATTCCATTTAAGCTTTATAAAAGATTGTTAGAGACATGATACGATAAAAATTGTTTAGATTCAGCATTGATATCAAAGTGTGGATACAGGCAAGCCTGGTAACGTCAGATACCTTTAAATCTAGGCAAGCTTTCTCCTATTCATTAAACAATATAAAGTATCTATTTCAATGTGTATCTCTCTGCAGATTACAAAACTTACAAAGCACTTCCAATGGCCCTCACTCATCATCCCAACTGTGAAACTGATTTTGTCTAGTAGCATATAAAATTTCACTTTCTGCCGAAGGGCCAGATCTTCAGTGCAAATGTAACCATGCCTCTTAATCAACAAACAACCTCTATTATTCTTGTAAACACTCTTGATGGAGTGCTAGTAATTAACACAGAATTTAAGGCATTTTCTAACAAATTAAAGTAAATTGTTATATGCTAGGTACTTGACTTCATTCACCTGAGCCAACAGCTGTGTACCTTATAAAGGTAACTAGCTGACCTATGATACATAGCTAGCATCCATTTATGGAGCAACATTATTCTGCCTGACCCTATCAACATTTACATGATTTGTGAGTGGTATGCAAGTCTTACAAGCTTTTAATCCGTGAGCATAAAATACTTATATCATCCCTGGAGTATGGACCACGGCTGTAACTCTACTCATAACCTAACTCAACTGTTCTTCAGTGTTTTTGAAGCCAAGCAAAACTTAGCATACGTTATCAATAAATCAACACAACTTTAAGATGATCAGAAAAAAAGATTCAAGCAGCTGAAGGAAAGTATATTTCTCAGCCTTTACATTCAAAAACATCTGACAAATGTCTACAACAAGTAGGTAAACTCACCCCTAGTCTAACTTCACTGAAGTTAACATTTTTGCAACAAGAAAAGAGAGGCCTAATATCTTAAAAATCTGTCGCTAGATAAAAAAAGTCACAGTATGTAAAAACTTAATCAAAAACAGTTGCGAATACAAATCACTTCCCAGGATATTTCTGTACCTAAACAGATAACTGAGTATATCTCCGTAATGCATCAGCTTTGTTAAACAATGGGGCTGCTTTCCCTATTCTTTTGTTATCTATTTCCAAACTGTAACTAGTAATTTGTTTCAGCAATGACTGCCAAATTTATACAATGAAAACAAACAGCATATGTTGCTACCAGTAATCTGATATTTACAAATTCTCTGTAGAATTGCAGACTTTCCATAGCATCCTAACTAAAAATTAGAACATAAGAATTTTATTTGTCAAACTTCTAAATAACATCACATCAACTAAAAACGTTTGTTTTGTGACCCTGATCTTACATCCAGAATCTACTAATGCCAATTACTTTATTGTGTGGAGTTCCATGGACATTCTAAAATCTGTATTCCTGTAAACCTTCATCTAGACAAAGTCTGACGGCTGTCCTTAATCCTTTACCACGGTGCCATAACTGTTATTGCTAATCCTTGAAGCTTTTCATTAAAACAGCAAAAAAAAAAAAAAAAAAAAAAGGCAAGAGGACTGTTGGCTATGATTTAGGACTTGAATACAATGCCTTCAGTCTTGTCTTTTCAAGGTATACAAAGCATGTAACATCCCTTCATCCCATTGAAATCAGCTCCTAAGAGGCCTAGGGCTGTAAGCTCACACTCAATATTGCAATCAAGATACATCTTAAAGAGTTCTCTTAGCATACGTTTTACTGCTTCCTTAATAACCGTGCTAGAAAAATCAGCTTGTAATTCATGTTCTCAGTTTCGTATTTGCCTGTAACACTAGCTTTCTTTGGCCAATGCCATTTCAAATACAAATGTAATGCCTTGTTTTCATTGTACTCGTTTGCATTAGATGTAAAAATACTCTAAAGGACGTGCGAGAGAACAGTCTTCTTAAAATCCATTTAAAAGAGAACAACATATTTGTGACTTTGGATACCAGCACTCAGTTGAGATAGCCTCTGCAACACACCGCTCCGCATTTACAGACAGTTCTGATCCTCTTTCTCGAGGGGCTAAGACCATCAGTGGAGTCTGAAGTCAGATCTATTGAACCTGTGACAGACAAATGCAAACAAGGAAGCTTAAAAAACAAACAAAAACCACAACTGAAAGCATGCAATGCATCCAAGACAGGCAAAGGCTTTCTACCAACCCAGTTCTTCAAAGAACTGTGTGTGAACCTAAACACAAATTCTAATGACATTCATGTTACAACTCCTTATTTATACAACACCTAACACACATATCAGAATCAAAAGCTCAAAGAACTTGGGCCTTGCACTCTCAGGTCCGTATCCATAATGATCAGCTGAGACTGCAGCCTGCCTTGAACATTAGTGTCACAGATACCACAAAAAAGAGGAGTTTTAAGGAGAGATTTAAATATGATCAATCTGTCAGTATTTGCACACAAACTAAATTGCTGGGCACGCAATGCATTGCATACCATCACTTAGCCACAACAGCAAAGTTTGAGTCAAAGAAAATCACCGTCAGCAAGACTTCAGAATTTTATTTTATATTGGGGAGAAAAAAAAAAAAAAAAGAAGGAAATCCTGAACAGAAGATCAATTATCCAAGAGCTAGTAATATTTTACAAAAATTCATTTCCTGAATTCTCTGCGTAATGTCCAACGTATTCAACCCAGCAAAACAATTGCAGACTTTAAAAAGGAGGAGGGAAGGTCCATATACCTGCACCTACATCCACAGCTGAGGCCCACAAACACTAGAATACAAACACAAACCTACCATCCACCTCAGATCTTGACGCTGTTTTCTTTGTAACTGTTACCAGCAGTTACATCTAAGTAGATTACTTGGAAAGTTTTTTAAAATGATATCCAAACACGTTTTTGTTCTAACCATTCTTTTGAGCATCCCTGTCACAAATCTTCAAAATAAGCTGCCTTGTCAAGAGTTACCAACCACAATAGCTTGCTCTGAGCTAGGAATGCTGAAGGACATAATGTACCAGAGGCAGGGAACACACAAAATCTTCTGTTTGCTCTGTTTGCGCTACAAGTCAATGAGATAATTTTTGCTCTTCATAGTCGCATTAGCAAAACGCAGTGCCTGACCTAATGCACTGGTATCAGGCTGCAACAAAATCAGCGAGTAAACCACATTTCCCACAAAAAAATTTTTTTAAAGATCTACAGACCCTTCATCTGATAATCAAAGGTTAGCTCTTCTCCAGCTTTGATGGTTCTTGTAGAAAACAGTGCTATTCGAGGAAGACGCAGATCAAGGTTATCAATAAACACATTGAACACCTGAAGATTTGGATCACACTGTAAGGCAAAAATTAATGTAGTTTCTGTTAAAAAAGAAACACTTCAGATATGCAAAAAAGCAGTGGAAACTTGTTGTGCAAACATGGTCAAAGGAAAGGAACCACTCGTTATTCTCTCAGTGAGAAAAATTTGAAATCAAGTTATCTTCTGAAATTAACAAATTACATTCTTGTAAACAGCCTTAACAGAGCATTCACATTTACAAGTAGAGTTCTTTTAAAGAAGTAACCTTTACGCTGTACGTAGGCTACGTTAACATGCAACAGCCTACTAAAAAATTTAACTTTGAAGCATGGCAAAAAAAGATGACAAAATTTAAAGTTATTTAAGCTACACTCAGAGGTAAGTTGTACTAACAAAACCCACAGAAGAATTAAAGGTGAAAGAACAGGTACACGACATAGTTTCATGGCACATACATTCACTATTCTGTATTTAGGTTTAAGTGTTACTTCCAGGTCAGAAATAATTAATACTATGGGTAAATTTCTATTTTTAATTGCCAGTCTGCTCAGCTTTTGAGTTATGTGCTAGGGCAGGGCGGAGGGGGTCAAGCACGCTTAAGCAGGACTAAACACTACTACTTCACTTTTTCTAGATTAAGTGCCAAAAGTCAGTAGTCACTGAGATAGTCTGTAAAACTCTTAAGCACTCCCTTTTTTGCTCTTTAGTAACGCTGAATATCCCATTTTAGAAAATCAGGCATGAAACGTGACTTCTAACTTTATGCTCAGGCACAAGACTACTTTGGTTCAACTCTCAAAAGTGAAGAGCAATTGGGATTAGCTAAAACTCTTTCTCAGCTTTCTCCTTAACAAGCCTACATAAAATATGAATTTTGTCAGCAGCTCCCAAATATGAAGAAAACACATGAATTTACTGTATTTGTTGAACATCAATTGTATGCTTCACAAACACTAAATCAGTAAGAAGTAAATCATTCCTGAACTCAGAGTTATTATAATTCACTCTATAAATGCAGTTCAGCCTTCTTGTCTTAGGTATAACAGTGGAATAGGACATAAAATATTATAAAAATATCCTGTTTAGAACTTACTTCCAAATTCTCTGCCAAGTTTAGATTTGGTAGTGGACGGGGGGAATGGTATCTACAGGTGAAAAATATCAAAGAAAAGAAAGAAAATGTTCTTTCCCTTCCCAATTTTTGACGGTTGACATTTAATAATCCTCGCTCCACCTAGTCACAAAGAATCCAACGGTTCCTATCATCTTTGCCCCTTTACTGATTTTATTAAATATTTTTCCTACATTAGGCCTTTCAGTCACTTTAAAAAGAAAAAACCATTTTGGTTATCTAGAACCAGTACCTGATGTGCTGGAAATTCAGTGACAATTCCAGTCCTACCAGCTGTCCAGTTCAGGTAACCTGTCATTTGCACATTTTGTAATCAGTTGTCTTACTCTGACTCTGAGTAAAGGGCAAGCGTTCCAGTCTATGCATTGCATTATATTGTATTATTTAACTAACTGAACTGCGTTGGCACGAAATAAATTACTCCGGAAAAAGCTGTGATTATGATAAGAAAATATTTATAATAGGAGATGTTGTTTCTGGTGCAATTAGAATAATTCCCCAAGTTCTTAGTATACAAAACATGGTCTTACACTGTGATTCACAAAGTGGGACACATTCCCATATCGAGCTGCATCTACTGTAAATTCATCTGAGTCATAGTCCAAATCAAACAAGTATGTATTTCCCTGGTTGTCATAAAGCTGGCCTCGTCTCTCTGCTTCCTCACTTGTAATCACCTAAAAAAGAAAAAAAGAAAAAAAAAGAAAAAACTGTATCATATTATTAACTATTACTTAATTAAAACAAACAAAAAAAAAACACAGTTGAGATGGAAAAATCTTACTTTTATTTAGTAAAAAGACCCAGCACATTCACTGTTTTGATAAGATAGTGTTCTGTCTACAATGAATAAAGAATGCACAAATACAGCTAGTTAAACTAATTAGTTAGTAACTAAGACTGCTTTGGACATAATTTGCCTATATCCTGTTCATAATTGCCTATGATGCACGGTACTACCTTGTCTCAGGGAAAAAATACCACTACCGTCTGTTAAGTGTTTAGTGATGAAACGTACAATCAATTGTTTCTACTTGAAGTTTCTATCCACATAATTTTTCATTTAGACCCCCAAAAGCCTGATTTTTTAAAAAAAAAAAAAAAAAGTTTCATCTCTCTCTCTCCCCCTTTGTACAGATGAAAATATAACATATATCCATCTCAGCAACTCAGTCACGTTTATCATCCTGCACTCATCTCTTCTCTCCCTAGAAGCATCTCTTCCTGCTGTTTTACTGTAATGGAAACCCTTAACGCCACTGTGGAATTCCTGATTTCACAACAACTTAGACAGATACAACCACTGCACAAAGCTAGAGCTATGCAATTAGGCTAGCGTATACTAGCATACAGGAGCAATCTAGAAGCTCTCCAAAGAAGCAAAAGAACTAGTCACTTTTGACAGAAGCAACAGCTCAAGCAACTTTATCTGCAGCCTGTTACTTCAAGTGTATTCGGCTCTGCAGACTCAGCAAAGAAATCCCGATTTGGCAACAAGAGCGATACGACATATAGTAAAATTTCACAAAAAGAGAAATCTCTTAAATCCTTCTGACAAACCGGATTTGCAAACTTATTTGCCTGTAGGGAATCAGTACACTCAGGTGTGAGGGTACATATACACTCTTTGCTTTAAGCAATAAAATAACTTAACCATGCGTCTGCATTAAATCGTCACTGGAGATATTCTGAGTAACTTCGCTTGCATGTTTGCAAGATTTTATAAAAAAGGGTATGAATACGACAAGTCAGAAGGTTCGAGACAGGAAACATGCATGAAATAGAGTAAAGTTGATAGTAAGTACAGTAGGAAAGGACAAAAGAAATTATTTGGACTGGCCTTAGTAGCAAGGCAGATGATGGGGCAGAAATACAATAGATGGAATCAGAAAGGTTGCCAGGAGCTACTGATGCAAGACCCCTGAAGCAGAGCAGAGGTTAAACCAGATAACACAGCACAGTACAAAAATCTCAAGAATAATCCGTTTACTTTATCTCACACAATTTCAAACAGAACTTTACTTCTCATGTCCATATTCTAAGTCTTGCTCCCGATGTTCATCAAAAGTAACAAATATATTTGGAATTACTATTTTAGAAGTTCACACAAAACAAAAAATGGTCCGATAGACTAGGTGGAGGGTATGACAGCAACTGTGCCTGGGAAGCGTTCAGTATTGAAAGGGCCCTGGAAGCAAAAGCTACAATAATCCAAGTTGATGATCAGAAAGGATAAAGACTACAACTGATATGAAAAGAAAAGAAGGATTTGTCTTTAAAAATACTGTCAGGGACCACAGCTAAAATAATCCTTCAGCAACAGTATCCTCTTCATGTTCAACCTTTTACAATTGCTCTGGAACGGAGGAGCTTTTGAGCAACACAATACAATTTTACCGCCAACTTCAGTATCCGTTTAGTGTACCCCGGCACTCAAAAATATACTTATCTGTTATACAGCAAAAGCCAAGAAGCGTTAGAACAGGGAGGAAGCTTATCAAGCTATTTTCCTATTTCTTCCATTACAAATAATTTATCCATATGAGGTAAATACATACCTCTCCAACATACTCCATCACAAAACTGTTGGTTTTAATTTTCTGGAGAGTTTTGACTCCCCAACCACGGCCATTGTTAGTTCTGAAGATGCAGAGAGAATATGGTGTACCTTTCTGTACTATCCTATTAGGGCAGTCAGGACCACACCTACAATATGAATTGCATTCATAAATTGGCAAGCCGGGCTGGATTTTCAACTTCTTTCGTTTATTGTAAGCCAAAAGAAATCCAGCCTCTTTTGGACAGCATTTCTCAGCAGGGCAGTCTGAGCATTCACAGCCAGTTGTTATTCCATTTATTACATTTATTCCCGGAGCAGGTTTATACTCGTTAATGTAGTAGAAGTCTAAAGGGGGGCCTTCAAGATCCACAGTGTTCTCCACAAGAATCATTCCTTTATGATTCTTTTTCCTGTTGAGTTCTTCTTTCCATCTCTGCAGAGCTATTCTTTGCTTAGCCTTCTTTACAATGTAATCTGCAACTGCAGGTTTCAAAGCTTTAACATGGTTTTTCACTTTCAGTGCTTTGCCTTCTTTTACTCGAGATAAATATTCATTCTTGTCACTGAGAAAGTTTTGAAGAAGCAATGGGCATTTCAGATTTTTCAAAGGTTCCCAAGTATTTGAAGATTCTGGCCATCCTTTCCATTTGACAAGATAGTATTCTGTGCCCTTGAAATACAGAAACACATACAGATTTAGCCAAACTCAGACAATCTACTGAAATCTAGCATCAGAGAGCATACAGACAAATACAAAAGAGTCACTGGAGTTAAGTAATGGCAAACACTGAAGAAGGTCTTGATTTCCCCATAACAGTTAGGATTGGGGAGAAAGGTAAAAGAAAACCAAGTTTTCCATTTGCAAGTTAACAGATGGCACAACTTTGCATACTCTGCGTATCACCTCTAGGGGCAAAAAAAAAAAAAAAAAACACAGCTGGAAAGAAGAACTCAAATCACCAATGTTACACCAGCAGGAGGCTAGCTTGTTAAAGCAGTTACATTAAGTTGCGTATCTTGTATGCACAAGCAGAATACAGTGACATCACATACAGAAAAGAAAATCTAAACTTACCCAACAAATCTCAAAAAACCCCAGCCCCCTCTTTGTTATATCAACCATCATCCTAAAGGAACAAGCTATTCAAAACACTTAACACTGTATTTACAGTCAATAGGCATACATTTTGTACTTTTTTAAAAAAAGACCAAGTAACTGTAGTAACTGTAACAAGGCCAAATCCTGAAACTGAATTTCACTGGCAAGATCAAGCCAAACAAACCCAGTTGCAGCACATGGCCCTGACTCTTCAAAGAACAACATTCAAGAGAAAAACAGACTGTTACCTGCAAACAAAGGAGAAGCATAATAGATACCAAGCTACAACCTAAAGGCATCAGCATTTTCCTTTACCTCCGGATACATAAGGGTGTAACATTTTTTTATTCCAACATCTCCATCGTTTCAAAAAAGACCTTCCTTCAACATATTGAAAGTGGTAAGTATACCACTTTCTGTTTACAGTTCAAAGTTAAAAAGATATTTTGTTTGATGTCAGTGAGAGCTTTGTCCTAAGAGCCTACAACTTTATATCATCAGCAAAACTACCTTTTGCTTGCTTCCAAACTTCAGCTGAAAGAGTGATCAAATTGGTCTGGATTTCTCTTACCTCGTCTACCTTGTAGTCACACAAATATTCCACCTCATAACTCTTTAGATTCCTGTTGGTGATTCCAATGGATTTACATCTGAGATTTTCCTTCCTACATAATTCTTGGAGGGTCTCAAGTGAAGCTAGACATGGCACATACCAAGCTACAATAAGAAAATTGGTAAAGAATCCTATTTAATGTCTCAGCTAAATTGAAATCATTATGCACTTGATTTTTTGCCTTATCCCAAAGTCCCCAGATTATCATTTGTAATAGCAGTCCATAAGTCTTTTTCACAACTACAGCGTTTCAGAAAGTCAAACTTAATCCTACTGTAGTGCAGAAAGTGAAACAGGTCAGTGACTCCCTACCTGAACCTTCATTCCACATGACAACATGTATATTTATTAGTAGCAACAAAACCTTTTAGAGGGCAGACGCTGCAGCAGCCCTTCACGAGTGAAAACTATACTAAGAATTAAGTAATTTGCCTATGAAGCATCCCAGAACTGAACTACAAAGAAACCTTCATTCTTTCGCAAGACCGCGGGTATGTGCAGTTAGCCAAGGGGAAACCAAGCACTTGCGATGCAACCATGGTGACTGGATGAGCAAGACAGATCCAAAGCACTCTTCGAGAAGGATCGCCGATGTCTTGTCAGGTAGGAAGATTTAAAGGGACGCTACGCTCCACAGACTACCGAGCGACTACGGAAGAGTGCCAAGTCGTGCGAGAATCGAGAAAACACTGCTGGGGGTGGGAAGGGGGAGGTGGGTGTTAGATGAAGTTTAGGGCCGGAGCCACACGCTGCGGCGGAGCCAAGGTGACTAGCGCGGCGGCCGCTCTCCTGCGTCAGCTCCCGGGCGGCACCAGGAAGGGCCCGCAGGCGGCACCGCTCCCCCCGCTTCCCGCCGAGC